TACATGTGCTTCTGTATTCATACACTCTAAATGAGCACAAGATTATATTCAAAATAGGTGAGCAGTTGCAGTAAAGTCAAGAGGATAAAGTACATCCTTAAAGATAAACAAATGCTTCACAGGTTGATTGGATCAGTGCCACATTGATTATTTAGATATCTCAGTCAAAAACCTCCTTCTGGAAGAATTTGACTAAACTGTGTTTTCTAAACTAAAATAATTTCCTGTAAAGTTGTGCTGCTAAATGTAGGTACTCCGATCCCACCACATAAGAACCACAGAGAAATGAATACCAACTACTTTTTCTGCTGAAGAGGATTAAGATATTCTTAAACCAGTATGAATTTGTGCAATTTGTACCACATCCTAAACAGTTGCAACAGCTGTATTGTGTCTCTAGACTGTGACTGCTTCTCAGAAAATTCTCACAGTATCACAAAGCCTTTTCTTTATGACCTGCAATTCTTTTCTATATAATAAAATATTGAAACACTGTTTAGAATTAGTACATGTAGTATCTTTTACAGCTACACTTCTGCAGTGTACTTAGAAAATTATATTTTGTGTAAAAAAAACCCCAACATTCTGTATATAAACACGTGGCACAGAAAACCTGTTTCATATTTCACTTTCTAAACATTACTTTATATACAATTCTGTGATATTTTCAGATGTGTTTATTAATAACTTAATAACAAAATACTCTGCTATCAGATAAGTAACACTAAAACATAGGATAGGAATAATAATAATATTGGGAAAACTTAAGCCATCTAAGTTTTAAAAAAAGTACTAACGTACACATAAACTAAAAGCCTGAAATTTAAGTTTAATAGCAATGGGGTGAGATGACAAATATTCAGTGTTGACCATTTCCGTTTATTTCAAAGCAGTCCACTGTTACATTTATTTTCCTCACTTTTGTGCATCTGATATTTACAAGAACTAACGCATTTCAAACCCAGCAGAATTTCAGATCTCCTGAATTTCTTGAAAGAATCTATTAGATGTTACACTATTACTTGATAATCTGTATTTTTATTTTTTTAAGCAACAGAAAGCAATTAGAACAGCCACAAAAGCAATATCTTGGCTTTACTAGAGATTAAAATTCAGCATTTTTTAATTTACGTTACCAATTTGCATCTCACTTGAAAATAAATCATAGCCACTGAAAACAAAGTTAAACAAAACCTATCTAAAACGAATTAAAAAGTTATTGAAACACAGTAACTGCTAATGCTCTCATAACTGATTAAGATCTTCAGAGCCACCTTCAGAAACATAAGCTGGAAAAATCTCGTATTTAGAATAGTCACATAACATTCATTCATCGATTAGGGCACATTAAGCACAAGATCAGCAACAAAAATAGCTGGAAGCATATCAGTTTACTGCTGGGAGATGTTTCCCATACTATTTGGAGTAGAGGCAAAACATGTGGTTTTTCTTTTTTTCTTTTCTTTTCTTCTTTCTTTTTTTTTTTTTTTTTTTTTTTTTTTTTTTTAGTGTTGCATTTATACTGTAATTGATATAAAAATCTTTCCAAAAGTCAAATGAAGATGTAATGCTTTAACTTCCTGGCAGCACTTAGGTGAGCCTAAATAAAGATGTTGTACTTCAATTCCTGTGATTAGAGATGGATCACTGGCTTTGGAAAACAGTTTGCGTACTGATCATGGGATGCAGATGAGTATCAGCTACAGCGACCCCTACTTTGAATTGTTTCAAAAGTCAAGCTACGAGTCTGCAGTTCAGCGGAGATATGAAAAAAGGCTACCAAAAATATTTTTTAAATCCCTGACTACTGCTGTTGTGTTCTGTCCATTTGGTGCCTATTTGATAGGACAGAAATACTGAAAACATACATATTTCATCTGTATGCAAAGTCTGGTAATGACTTGTCTTAAACATCACTACTAAAACAATGGATTAAGTTACTGCACATCAAATACCTTAAAACAAGGTTTGCTTTTGAAGTATATGTGAAGTTGTAAAAAATGTACAAGAAAAACTGGCAAAAAGCCATTCAAGCTTTTAAGAGTAAATATCCTTCAAAGTAGAGCAAGCTATAAAATGTTTAACGGTTATAAAGTCTAGTCGTCTTCTACAGACAGACGATGTTACCATTTGAAAGAAAGTAATCTTGGAAAGAATATTGGAAATGTGACTAATGACTTATATCATAAAAATAAAATCTAGAAGTTCTTTCTGGAGCACTATATAGTGGTATTATAAATTATGATGGAAAAATAAACAGAACAACATGGAAAACTCCCAATTCTTCCTTCTTTTTTTTCCTTTCCTTGTTAGCAAAATTACAAGTGTGCACATAAAGCTGAATTAAGCAAAAAAAAAAATATCTCAGAATTAACACAGGTTTCTTTCTCAGTTATGTTTGAAAAAAAAAACAAGCATAGTAGATATTATTCCAGTTATTCATCAGCTACTCTACTATGAAATCATACTGGATTTATCAGTTCAGCTATATGTCTAAAAACCTTTAACAGAATAAAAAAAGCCTCAGAAGGCTTGTTTTTCAGATGTCAAATTTAATATCCCTACATTCTCAAATCCTGAAAAAAATGGGGTGTTGTACAAGACTGTTAAAATATGTCCAGCATAATATTTCGATCACATACTTGCATTCAAAAGATATTTACGAATCACCATATTTTTCTTGCTCCTGTTGCCACTTCTGGCTTCTGCAATTCTCAAATTAACTTCAGTTCTTTCAGTCAGGCAGCTAGAAATTTGCTCATTACTGGAACAGTAACTCTTTCTTTATACACGTCCTTATAAATCTGGCTAAAACACATCTGCACCTTTCAAACATATTAACTCTATTTTATTTCAATAATGTGTGTTTCAGCCTCAAATTTTGCCTTTCTTCACTGTACTCATGTTCTACTTTGGAACGGTGCCTGACAATGACCTATCAAATCTTTAGCAGCTCTTAAACAGGATTTTTTTTTAAATGTCACATTTTGCCAGATGGGTTAGTACTGACCAGAGTGAATCATCACCATTTACTCTGATATTCACTGCCATCTGACATTTATTACACTCCCAGAATGCAAATTAAGGTACTCACCAATGGACCCAAAGCGCAACCTTTTGCAGTACATGCCTGGACTCTGAAGGAATGCAGACTCCAAGGAGCAAGTCCATAAGCATAACAGCTTAGCTGTGATGAATTTTGCATCAGAACACCATCCATATACAATCCATAGCTAGTAATAATACCTGTGAAACGATGTGATAGTACTCAATATCTAAAGAGCTACAGAGTTTAGAAGAAAACTAATGCTTCAGGCATTGGGGTGGTAACAGTAGTATTTCAAACAGTTTAGCCTTAAGCAGGTAAGCATGTAGCAGGACCGGGTGTGCAACACTTAGAAAAAACAAACACTCTCCCATCTTTAACTGTTGGACACCTTGCAAGTGGATTGCATCTTTTGAAAACAATTACACTGTTCCAAAGATTACCCATTAACAAACTTATTTCTGAATAGTGGCTAACATCACCTTGGAATCAGGAAAACTGAGGCAATTCTGTTTCACAGCCTACCGCATATGGCTATCGAAACAAGAACTGGAAAGACACACAAAACCATCTCACATCTTAACGGCTTTAGACTTAGAAAAAAAAAAAGTGATCTACATTATAAATGAAACATTGAAGCACAAGTCAGGCCAGCGCTATAAACTACAATAAATCCGTAACAAATAATTTTGTCACACAAAACACCTTATTGATACTAATTCTTGTTGATAATTATGTCAGATTTTCTGCATTTTGCCAACAAACTAGATACATCATTAATTCAGGGTTATGGGGTTTTTTAAACAGTTTTACCCACTTTTCTAAGCAAAACCACAAAATAGTATGGATTGGTGTTTCCTTCTCAGTGTGCTGTAGACAAAGTCCTGAAGTAAATTATTCCTTACCTATCCAATCTAAAGAAAGAAAACATATTTGCAAACTCAAAACAAATATTAGCAAGACTTCTAGATAGAGGAGAGAATGGTCCTTCTGGTGTAATTGGCTAATACCAACTCAAAAATTGCAGGTGATTTCTTACCTCATTTATAAGGAAATCTAAATCTCTGCTCTTCTGAAGGTGCATGACAGGATAGCATGAACCTTGTACGGGCTATACCTACACCGCATTTTGAATGTAATGAACTAAAGACTGAATTTTATGGATTTGCTTAGACTTTGGAAGTTGAGCTTGAAAAGGAATCCTTTTGAATATTCTCTTTTTTTAAAAGCTATTTAAGTGTGAAATCTGAAGGCAAATAGATGCAAAGCTATAGAAGGATTCATTAGAAGTGAGTTCAGTTCAGAGGATGCCTTCTACTCTTCCCATTATAGAAAATAGCTTCATATTGTAAAAATAGCACAGGTCATCTTTCCTTCCCTTAAAACTGAATTGTTTGAAACTAAATTTAAGAAGATTCTGTTTGAAATTGAGAAAGTATTTTCCCCCTCTACTGAAAGAAGAAAAGCTTTGTAAGCAAAAGTGTATACACAACTGTTTCAGTTGAGCTTTGAAGAGTTATACTTCAAAATGTTTATATGCTAAAGCAATGCAGAGCTGACTATGGTGAAGTGATTCACAGACTCCTCGATTCTTTTCTCCTCTAGAAAAACTGAGAGGCTAAACTCAAGTCAGACAGAAGAGACGTGTGTGTGGGAGGAAGTCCCAGTTTATCTCACACTATCAATCCTACCACATTTGACAGGCTTCCTAAAGTAAAAATCCCTTGGGATTCCATGTCTAGCTACTTGTAAAGCAAGGGCACTAATGGTTGATATTTGCCTTACATTAAATAAACAAATTATATCTATATATTAAAAATTATTATCTTTATCTCAGAGGAAAAAATACTTAAATATGGACTGATAAGGGTATCCCTACATGTGAATGCTGGCATAGAGGGGAAAAAACCCAACACTGAAGTACTTTAAGTACCTATACCAGTATCACTTACCCTTTAAAGTAATGGACAAATCATTATTAATTCCTTTGATATTTATGGTAACAGCATGAATCATAATGAGATCATTTGATATTAATGTGGGTGTCATATGTAACTCTATGGTATCCCCATTGTAACTCAGTATTAATTAAATGGAGCATTATATTAAAATGTTTCTGAAACCACAGCACTATGCAGCATCTGCACTCTGAGGAGCAGTTTGCTGGTCAACACTGTGAGCTTTTGTTAGTCCTCCCAGTACTGTCAGAGAACAATCATCTCTACTAAGCTGATCCATCAAGTCTTGATTTTACTTCTGCCTTTGCCTTATATGACTCTGATGGAGAAAATTACAGAATGAAAAGAAAGAAAAAAAGTACATTTCAGAACAAAAGGGCTGGTAGTTTGACTTTAAGATGTGAAGCCATTTTTCTAAATTAGCCAATAATTCTTTTTGGCCAGGCATAAATAACTTAGCCTCTCCATTTCATCAATATACATTTCCAAAACATACTGACAAAAAGTTTAAAGCCAGTCCAAAGTCTACTTACTTCTCAAGATTTGCTAGATATTCATGAAGTTTAGCATCCATGAAATATTAAAGGGTATAGCACATCTTTGTGATTTACAAGGCTTCGTGAGTGACACATGGTCGCCATGGAAAGATGCAGTTTCTTCATAATTATTACTTCTAGGTAGCTAGATTAAATCTTGGTTTCACTGAAGACAAAATCTCTATTGACTATAGTACAATTATGTTTCACTTTTGAAAAGAAATCCAACTATGCAAATTAAACTCAAACTGAAGAAAGTGACACACTCATCCCTTTTTCTTCCTCTTCTCCCCTCCCTGGGTAAGGCCATATAATCTGTCAATGATATTCCAGACATTAAAGATGAAAAGAGGTTTTAAATCTAAAGTGCTATGAGCACTTTACTCTTAAGGTACAATCTAGAGGTCAAATCTTAAGCAAACATACTTTTACCTACATCAGTTTCACTGACTACAAACACAAGTCATCTCTCACAAGGATTTGCAGGAACAAGTACTGGATTAGTTCACTGAATAATTTTATAAAGCAGATTTTACTATACCTAATATTTCCGATACAAATTCCATATAGCCTTGGAACATACAACCCAGATCAAGACCTGATTTTATCTATGACCTGTACACAAGTGAAGTCTTTGAGAAGTGAGCATCTAAGAGAAAAATTCAATGGTGAAAAGAGATAAGGCCACTTTTTTATGTGAATGGATTTTAAAAGAACAAACCTCAAACTATATGGCAAGGCTATAATGGCTATGTTCTGAAGAATATATGATCCTTTATTAGAGACCAGTACAACAGTGAAGGCTCAAAACAGAATATCTGATGCCACATGTCATTTCACAAGCCTCTCCATATCTCGCCCTCAACTAAATGGTCAATATTGCTTATATTATACTATCTACACATTGTGGTTTAACCCCAGCAGGTAAATAAGCACCACGCAGCAACTCACTCACCCCCACCTCCCCACAGTGGGTTGAGATAAAGACAGTTTAATAGGATAACAAAGAAAGAAAGTAATAATGATAACAACAATAATTATTATTATTATGTATATAACAATTGGTGCACAAATGCAATTGCTCAGCACCTGTGGAGAAAAAAACCCAACAAACCACAACCCAATGCACAGTTGGTTTCCGAGTCTGGACCATGTCCCATCAACTATTTCATTGTTGGTTTGAAAATAAGACAAAAGAAAATGTGCATTTTACAAATATATTCAGCATATCATCTTCCAAATGTCTTTATTTCTATACATGGTACATAAACGACATTTCTTAAGCAACTTTCAACAAAGAATTAGGTGTATTGTTTCCCATTTTCTATGAAATGAAAATTTTTCACAAAATAATGTAAATTGGCCTTAAATTCAACCAAAAATGGAGCACAGAAATTCAATATCCGTGTTTGGATAACATTAGCCTTTGACCTCTAAATAGTCCCTTATCTCAAAGCTTGACTCTCTGCATTGTGCCATCTTTATGAAGAAGCCAAGTAGCTTTTATTCCTATGTGCCAACCTTTGGCCTCAAGGGTAGCATGTTAATCTTCCTTAACTTTTTCTAACTGGTGGCAAGCAGCTGGACTCCATCTATATCAAGAGAGCGTAGCAAAGTCCATGCTGTCCAAACCCCCGTCAGCCTACATATCCATTCAACACCAGCAGCTGCTAATAAGCTTCCTCAGCTCATGGAAATAAACAGTAACTTCCGTCATATAGTGTCAGAGAAAAGGAGGAGGAAGGTAAAGGAATGGCCCCAGAGACCTACTAAGGAGATGACAATGTATGATATGGCAATCTTTGCAATTCTGACATTTCCACCTGAAACAAAGCCAAGTTCAGTAATTTCAAAAAGCACTACTTACACCTAGTAGACTGAAACTCAGCAAGTTTGAACCAACATTAGAATTTCTGACTATGAGAATACACCAGTAAAATGCTGAAGTAAGAAAATTTAAGGGAAAGTTCCTTCTGCTGGTTCTTTCTCATATTTCAGTCTTCTCAACAATGATATTTTTCAGCCTGCTACAGTTTTAAAATACTGACACAGAGAGCAATTATAAATGACGTGGCCACTAGCAAGACTAAAAGATATGCTGAGAATGAACAAAACAAAGTCACCGAACAATGCAAGCTTTCCTGATTAAGCAGTTGCTCAGAGAAAAGTTTTAGTACTTCTATTTTATTTCTTCTTTAAAAAATTCTTTTTATGAAATAAAGAAATGGATGAAAATAGGAAATTGGAAAGAAAGAAACAGGAGAATGGGAAAATGTGTTATTAGTTATAATACTCTTTTTGAAACTCCCCAAAAAAGTGGGGGAGAAGAAAGAAGAAAAATGAGAGAAAAATTGTATATCCCTTGACCTTTGAGCAAGTGTAAGCAGGCTACGGTGAAAAAAAAGATATCCCTGCTCCTCTAATGCCCTTCTGGCTGCCAAATGCTCATGAGAGAGCAATTCTTCCAACTCTTAACCACTCAGCAAGAGCTTGCAGGTGGAAAGCAGCAGCCTTTCCCTGCAAGGCAGGATAGCAGCAGCTGACTTTGCTGAATCCCTTCCATCAGTTCTGACCCTAAGGAAAACCCTCTAACAGCAACATGCATGGTATTCACATATCACCAAAAAATAACAACAGTCCCAAGGGAAAAATACTCTATGGGCTTCAATTAGTGAGAAGATGTGAAAATACCAGAGAATATTTTTAAAGGGGAGAAATACACACAGGAGGCCTACACAGGGTATACTTGGGATTATAGAGGAGTAGGATATATGGCAAATTTGGTGATTACCTAAACGCATTGTTCGAAATCCCAGTATAGAGGTGAACAGTGCTGTCATCAAGGCTGTTGAAACCTCCAGTTTCCATGGATGAAGGGACAAGGGACAGAATAATATAATTTCTTTTATAAAGCTCCCCTGATTCTTATGACATCTGTTGCTCATCCAGTTCAGATTCACAGCTTTCCTAAAAAGCTATTTATTGTATTTCCTAACAACCAATTTATTGTATTTAAAAGGAGAGCCAAGCTGTACATAGCAAATGCTGCATTAACATCTAGATACAATGCACAAATTTAGTCATGAATTCCTAACTTTTAGTTGTTTTAAAAGTTGTGGAAATTTATTTATCAAACTACAGGACTTTATCCTGTGCTGTTGATATGTATACATAAATATATGTATGTATATATTTTTATTTATTTGATTAGTTAAACCACTCTCTAAACTATTTGGATTTTTTCCCCACAATGCAAGGATAACAGCATCAGGTCCTGACATGAAATATCACACATAAATAATGCCCACTGACTTTAGCCACTAAGCCACATACACGACTGTCCTGCCTGCCTTCCTCATCCCCCCATCCCTTATCCCTCCCCTTTTTCCTTCCTTCTTGCCTTCTCCTAAGCCTTTGCCAAGTATGCCGATGCAATTTTAGAAACAGAGTTAGAGGGTTTCTAAGGGGCTAGGAGGCAAAATCTTCCAGTATGACTCCCATACAAAGAACCAGAAATTATCAATTACATTATTTAACAGCAGATTACATACTCTTATTTCTTTCCAAAAGTAATGTAAGACCTTATCGAATATTACATATGTGTAGATTTACAATCACCAGTTTTTGGGGAATCTAAAATTTAAAGTGCCTTGTAGTGACGTTATACAAGTAGGATGTGCTTTACCACAATTGAAAGCAGGGGAAAACTTGCAGGGGAAAAATGAAATTAATGTGAAACCACTGTGAGAAATAATTATATATATCAATATGATAAGCCGAAGAAGAAAAACATTTCTGTTGCTTTAAATTCAGTGATTCCTGCATAGCTTCCTCTTCTGTGATTTAAACCGTTACATGCACAATAATAAAATCAAGGTGAATTCCAAGGCCATATGATACTGTGCAATATCATTAGAAATATAAAATTTGTCCAGAAGTTTTACGTATGTATAATTCACAATGAAAAACATTTCTAAACAAAAGAAAGTGTATTAATTAACTTCCACAGCCATGGCAATGTACACCTTCAAGATGACTATGTTGAACTTAAATCTAATGATTATTATATATCAATTAGTGTAAAAGAAATGAATGTTTTATTGGAGGGTGAAATGAACATCCTAGACTGATAACTCTCTAAGAACGCCTATTCCTCAGCTCCGTTGTCCTGGAAAACGTTAAACAATGAGATGCAGTACACAAGAACTATCAAAAGGGAGCACTTTTGAGCCACTGAAACCGTACGGTAGGCTGAAACCCACATTCTCCTAGCTGCAGACAATGATACTATCTCAGGTATTTTATGTGCTAAAATGATCATTAAAAATTAAGCACCACATATAAGCTGCCATTTAGAATATTAATTTACCTTTACTAATCATCTTTTTAACTTGAGGCTAAAAGAGTTCACTTACCATTCGGATACTCAGGCTTAGTCCATGAGATGTTAAAGGAGTCAGATGAATATGACTGGGCTTTTGGAGCAGGAACACCTTCTGGTGTACTCTCATCTGTTATAGCTGTGCTAGCTTCGCTTATTGAACAGCCACCTCCAGTGCAAGCCTTAAAATATGAATCAAAACAAACAAACATATTTCACTGTAATACCATTAATTTTAGCAATGATTTTTTGGTAAAGTTTTATAAATTTTACATATCTAAACTTAGTAAGTGTGCTTTTCATAGAAGATCCTTTTTTTAGCATAGATTTGTTTACCTCTTAAATAACAGGATGTGGTAGTCGTGATACTTAATTTTTAGGTATAATATAGCTAAAACCTTATACTAACGTTTGACTCGCAGCATTTTGCATTTGACTGAGTCATAATCCCAATTAGGTTCCCACTGTTTTTGCAGCTGCAGTTAAAGAAAATTACAGTACAATATATATTATCTACACTGCAAAACTCTTCTGGAATTGACTAAAAAGCTCTCCTAAGTTCCAAACACATAATATACTGACCAACTTGCGAAGCACTTAAAAAATTATCTCGATGAATAGCCATTGAGAAAAAATAGCCATTCAGACAGAGCTGCACTTCATGACAGCACGCAGAGTGGTGTGCAGGTACAATTAAAACAGTGAAAAACCACTCTATTATAAACCAATATGTAACAGTTATTATTACATGTTTATGGATAACAAAGTGAAATCATTTATATTTCAGTTACCAGAGAAGAAAAGATCGATTACGTGATTTTTTACGTTTTGCTTGATTACGAAACAATACAATGTGCAAGAAAATGTGTGTGTCGGCCCATCAAACAGCCTTTTAAAGTTTTACATGCACAAACACAAGACTACACGGCTATGGTCCTTACGTGTGCTGGTTTTCCAATTACTTGCACTAAGATCAATGACAAGAGACAGGAGTTCTTTGGGAAGTGAAAAAATAGAATCAAGAATATATAAACTGTACTGGATGTAAAGATTTTTGGTTTAGTTTATTGTTTCTTTTTAATTTTATCATTTAGCAATAAAAGAAATCAAAACCTGAATTCAACAAAGATTCAGATTTAGACATACTCTTAACCAAACTTAAAGGATCCCCTGTGTTTTTACGAGTTGCCTGTGTGCCGAAGTGGACAAGTAGCCCACTCTGGATCATCAGCACACAAAGGGAAAATAACCTTGCTGTCCAGATCTCCAGGAATAAAATGTTTCTCTCAATCTAGTATACTTTATTGGAAAGGATTAGCTTCAATTTCCCACTTCCCAGTGCGTTTCAAATCAGAGAGCAGTCAACATATTTCCTACCCTGCTCCAAACATGTATACTAGCCCCATGGGTAAAAATAAGAACTGTTTGTAAATGAGAGGCTATTTTATACACCAAGATTATTTTGATTTCACTGGAAATTACACTCCCAACACAACTACAGAATGACTCCCTGTGTTCAGTCTAGGCTATCAAATAAAGATCAAAGACTGCAACCTCAGTTTTGGGAACATCCGAAAAAGGCATTTACTTTAAATATGATAGTGTTTAACAAAAACAAAAAACAAAACCAAAGTGAGCTCAGACAGGTGCTCAGATAACTGTTTTCATTTTGATAAGGAAAATATTTAAGAACATCATCCTTCCAGTAAAGGCAGACTATTCTTCAAATGATTTTGCTTCTACTGGCCTCATGAAGAAGCCAGATAGACCAGCTCTGCAAGACCGCTTCCTCATACATCCCTCGCTGCCTTGCTAAACAAGTTGCACTGAGCATCCCTCAAGGAGAGGAGGACTTTTTCATTCAAGGGCTCACAGTAACAGCAGACTTCCCGTTCATTTATTTCTTGAATTTCATGAAGCTCGTTTTTTGTATCTCTGAAACTTGCTGGGGTATGAAGATTCTGATTCTTCTAATGAAAATCAGTATAAGAAAGCTCATCTGCATTTTAAATAGTGGAATTTTAGATTACTGCATCCAAATGGTCTGGACATTGCTGGGACTCTGGCAGTCACATCCAGTGATGCTCAAAGCCATGAAATCCTACACCCCATTGTGCCACTCTGAACTTCTCCAAGAAACAGATTTGAGGCAAAATTTGCAAAACTACCAAAGTGTCTAGAGAGCCAAGGGACCAATATAAACCTCATAACAAGACACCACATGGTGATCCTCCAGTTAGCACCTGAGCTAGCTTACCTACACAACATAGCCGTGAGGAGATCATTAGCTGAACAGCTAAATCACAAAAGTACTCAAGTCATATGAAAGTTCTGCTGATGAGGATCCCCATTCCTGTGTTCAAAGCTGCAACTTTTGATAACTCAACTTCCAATTTCCCACATAAAACCAGTTTTTGCATGGATACAAAACAAAATTAATACTACCTGTGAAACAACAAAAAGGAAAAGGTTCTAGCTGATAGAAATATTTCATTCTAATAAAAAAAAAAAAGGGGGAAGCATTTAGTTAATTTTCCAGTGTTGAAGGTATGCTATTGTTTACTTTAAAAGTTGTATTGAAATTCAGATTAAATTATATTTGAAACACTAACTATTTCCATTTCTTTCTAGGGGTGTGTGTGTTTGATTTGTGGGTTGTGGGGGTTTTTGGGTTTGGTTTTTGTGGGGTTTTTTTTTTTCATCAAGTGTAATATTTGGCCACATTTAAGCTTCATAACCTGTAAATCTCTAATATTACATTCTTCTCAAACTAGTCTGACAATTTCTAAACACAATGGGTCCAAATGTTTTAAGAAAGCTCTCACCTCAAAGATATTGGGCATTTCGTGCACTTTTAGAATTGCCATTTTCAAAGCTGCAAGACATTTAGATCTTCTAACCTGCCTATCATAGACCATTGCATTTTATCCAGGTAAATCTGGTTATCTTCATCACCAGAAGAAATTATCTTTTCTTACTTTCTGGTTACCACTGATGCTATGCAAATATATATTTAAAAAAAAAAAAAATCCACAAAGAAATGAGAAATAAAATATAAAGGTCAAAGGTTCCTAAAAATGTATTCAGTAACTTCTAGAAAAAGCTGTACATGTTAATGAAGTAAAAACAAAGCCCAGACAACACTTTGTTTTAACCATATCCCAAGGCAGAGCAGTCCCAGTTGCTCTGCATCTCCTAGGTGTTAATTCTCGCCTGAACCTCGCTCCTCGTGTCCCCATGCAGAGGAGCTGGGCAGGAATAGAGAAGAGCTGTGGCACAGTGAAGGACAGCACAAATTCTTTAGATAGTCTCGCTTGCTTATAAAGGCATAAGATGCTTGTTGAAGTACTACTGTAGTTTTGGACATGGTGCTATTTTATATGCTGTACAATTGACTATGCTGAAATGTCTAGGAACAAATGAATTAATTTCAACAAGAATCCAAGCTTTAATTAGCCTGAATATCCTTGCTTTTTCAAGTTCAAGTCAGATCCTTATCATTACCTGAAGGTAGTTTATTTTTTGTGGTATAATATTTAGAACATTCAAGAGCATGTTAAGAAAAAATGAATGCATACCCAGTCTACATAAATGTAAATTTATTCATAATCAAGAGCAGAATATTTTTCTATGGCATTTATCAAAGCAAATATCCTTATATAGGTATTGTTATAAAATGAACAGTGTGCTTAAAACAAGGGACAATCCCATGCTTTTATGCACGTATTTTCAGATTTGTTAGTGAGCTGAAGCTGGTCGATTTCATCACGAAATAAAACCGATAATAAAGAAATGCAATGAAAACACCAAGGTCTTTTAAAATGTTTTGAATAAGCAAACCGCTAATGTACACTGGACTCTTTTCCTCTCTGCTATTTCCTTCTACATACAGGTTTAATGAAGAAAGAGCAAATTATTATGGTAAAAAACATGAAAGGCTAACATTTTCAAATGCATTCAACATTTTCTTGTAATTTGGGGGCAGGAGACATTTTTTGTCTTTCATAAGTTTCTGGTCAGTTCTCTACTAGCTATCATTTAACTTATCCTTGAAGAAAAACTGTATTTACATTACATACACATTTTTTGAGGGCCTGTTTTGAAACAAAACACCTACTGTTGTTCAGGATGGCTCATCCACCTTAGTTTCAGAAAAAAAGAGGTTCAAGTGGACACACGAACCATTAAGTATTTAAGATGTTAACAAAATCAGAATAATTTTCACCATTTTACACCTCTACTACACATCTTTAAAACTTACAGCTAGTTTTATGAGGTATTCAGTACCCGGAAAAAGCTGCTGAATAGTAAAATCCAGAAAAAGTTCTGTGCTGTTATAGATTACATTCCACTTTGTAAAATTCTGCTCATTGTTGGCAATATAAATTATATAGCGATCTAGGATTCCATTTACTTCTACTGGTTCTTTCCATCTGCAAATAAAAGCAAAATACAATTAAGACCAACAAAGATTCAGACCTTACTGAAAAATGTAAGGCTTTGTTTAGGGAACTAGCTGGGGTTTATTTTAAGAATTTGAAAACATAGCTGTGCAACCATAAAAATAAATCTAAGGCATACCTTTAATGCAGTATTTGTACTCAATATATAAATGATTATAGTAATACACAAAGCAGGGGCTACTAAACGGGCATAGCACCAGAACATTTCCTGCACTGAAGTTTGCAGAAGCTATGCCCATATGTAGGTTATACTGATTGCGTAAAGACAAAATGGAAATTAAGTTGGCAAGTGATAATCAGAAGGTTCACAGAACCACTAAACTAATCACTTCTATGCATTTAATCATAATAAATTTAATTTTATGTCACAAACCCTTCCCCTGATTGAACTCCCTGGAATTCTTGAATAAACGGAGGCACCATTGTGTTGTCAGGAAAGAAGAAATCCTTACTTACTGTACATATATCGTTCTAGAATCCAAAACCGTCAGGACCGGGGCATCTACGTGAGATGGTGGCAGCTGTGCTGTAAACAAGGTGACCTGGGAACTGTTTGTACAGCCAGCGAGCGTGCATGCAGTGAGCAGAAACTGGTGTGGCGTAAACACTGCTAAATCTAGGGCAAAAAAGGAATATGATTTTACTTTGTATATTAATTGTAACATATTTTTCTGTAACTTTCAGAAGGTAGTTCATTCAGAAAATCAAGAGAAAGAGGGACCTGTATCTCTTAAATGTTTCAGATTTCTCCCAGAGGAGTGAATAGGTGCTGGTTGTAACTGGAAATTTTGACTACTAATAGCTCTACGGAGCGCACTGTGGTTGAGATGACCGACCGCATTCTACAGTACATTTACACTAGAATGTACATCACCCAAACAAAACAAAGATGTTAGCCTCGTAGGTGCTACATACTACATCAATTTGTTACCGTGGCAAATGAATACCTTTAAGATGATTAAATCAAATCAAATTAATGGAAAAACAAGTACAGGTTCATTAACACAGCCAGATTATATTTAAAAAAAAAAAAAAATCTGCTGCATGATACATGAATGTTAAGCATCAATACATGCAATGATTCACTCCATGCAGATTTCACTATAAGCATGAACACAAAGGAAGCTCATTGTTGCCACCACTCATACTGGTCTGTTCTCTCTTTGCCTGTTTGTCTTCAGCTGCATGAACGTCAAACATTTATAAACATATTTCAGTAAAGACAACCTGTCTAATGCTATAGCAAAACAACTGTTAAATGGTTATTTATTGTGAAGCTATCTTGAGTTTCAATTATTGCAGAAAAAGGTGAAGAAAATGTAGCATCTTTGTTGAATAAATATTCTAAAAGATCTTAAGCTTCACATATGCTTCACTGTAGTAATAAAGGAATGCTTGTCAGAAAAACTATAGTAGGAAAGTAATGCAGACATAATTTCCTAGTATTTTTCATTTTTTAAATTAAAATACAAATCACAGATTTTAATAAGTAAATCCTTTAAGAAGGAATTTACAATTGAGGTTTCGGCAACAGTATAAGGTACACAAGTAAAATGCATATGTTATGGATACACATTTTTCGTATGCCAGAAAAGTTCTGGATTTTTGCAAGATGTAACAAATGCTAGTGTTTTCAGAGCCAAATTGTATCAAACTATCATTTTGTACAAAAATATTTGTGAGCACAAATTCAAAAATTGAAACTGAATGACAAAGACCACTAAAGCAGATATGTTATACACCCAACTTCTTTCTCATTAGTTTTCCCCTCATATAATGTCTCCAGTCCCAGCTGCAATGGAATTTCTTCCCATTTACTCTACTCTGTGTGAGGAGAGACTGAACTTGTGCATTTTCATTGAAAACACAGTATCACTCAGTGGTATTGTTCTATGGAGCACATGGGAAAGTGAGAGTTAAAAAATTGCTGTAACTAAAAAAAAAAAAAAAAATCATCAAGTGAATGCCTGTAACAGTGACATGTTTAATCAACATAATGGGGCTGATTCTACCAGGGTTAAGCAGTGCTTATGTGGGTGAGAGGGGTAAAGCACACTCCAGAGCAGGTGCTCAAGCTGGCTCAGCAAGCAGGGAAAGTAAACTCCACATACTGCACCGACTGCATGGCCCTCATTAGTGTACACCTTCCTGGGTCCCGTGTTCCTTGCAGCTGCCATCAGAGAAGCCACAAAAAGTACAGACTGAGATGGAAGTCTGTGAGACAAGGATTGGATACTCCATGTTCTGGGTGGGCAAACAAGTGACCAGAAGGATTTTACTTTTAGCAATCCTGAAATGTACAGCTGAAAGCAATCCATGGCACCTATTTAATTCATGTCCTTGTAAACAGTAAATACGCATTCTGCTCTCTACGTTGAAACTGTGTTGTGGGGCTTCACTTAGCAGCCTGAATATAACACAAGAAAAGCGGGAACAGAAAAAGTGGATTTGTCCTCTTCCATTTGTTTATGGTCCATCACTGTTTTCCCTGAACACAGATTTGGGATGGGCATTGGGGAGGGGTATTTTTCTCTCCTTAAGGAAAATTCCTCATCAAGAAACTGTTGTTTTTTTAAAAAAGTATCTTGTACTGAAACCATGATTTGACGCACACTGTAGCTGATGAGACTACGTGCATGCATAAGAGTTTCTGGAAATACCTTGTTAAATTTGAAGAGGGAGGAACTTTGTCAAGGATGAAAAGAATGGAAGATGGAAGAATGGTTTTTTTCCCCTCCCTGAAAAAAAACCAAGTGACTATAAGTTACTATCTGTATCTCAGTTCCTGGAATGGTAAAAGGTCTCAGTTCCTGAATGGTAAAAGCAAAAAGACGTGACAGGGAAACAGGCAAAGCTTAAAATAACAGGAATAACAAGCAATGGAAACACAGCACATATGAACAGCAAGATCCTTTAGGATCAACTGACAAGCGTACTGAGAGGGGTGGGAAGGAGAGGAGGGGTTAAAAAAAAAAAAGAGTAGAAAGATAAAATATGGAAAAAAAAGCAACATGTCACCAAGTTCAAAGGAAATCTTTATTCCTCCTCTTGATTTAATAACGGAAATATATTTTGACTAATAAATGCCAAATAGAAAGTTTCAATGAAATCTGAAAGATTTAGGTGGGATAAAGGCTAAAAAGAAAAATGAAGTTAGTGGGAGCAGGAGAAGAAAATACAGAAATTAGAGACAGGAACATCACTCAAAGCATGAGCTTTGCAGTCAGTGAAAAGCTCTCCATAAACTTCATCGAGATTTGGATGAGCCTGCAAATATAGTGTAGGTAGTATTTCTAAAAGCTTAGAATCAGAAACTCACAAACTGAACAATAAAAATTATATTACATCATAATTGATGCCATTATTTGTCACAGTCAGATTTGGCACATATTTTCCTATTTAAAGTTCAAAGTGTTTCATAATGGATCAGTGGATTCAAACGACTACAGATACAAACATGAATCTAAATGAGGAGGGAGGAGGTTCTTAAAACTACAAAGCTACTGTTTGTCAAGGTCCTCTAGCAACAACGCCTTATTTTCCATTTGCTTGATTGCATGATTTGCATAAGATCAAATGTAGGCAATTGTGGACATGAAAAACAGATCGCTCTCAAACACATTAGAAATGGATCCACAAGCATTATCCAGAAATGCCTTACAAGAAAATGCATCCCAGTGCATGGAAAACTCAGTGATTAATGTCAAACAAACTATAATTTACAATATAGGGCATGAATTATATGTTATTTTACAATTGATTTCATGCTGTTGGTGAAAGAATTTCATTGATCTCAATTTACAAAATGAACACAATAAGCAGACAATTGTTTTCTTTTTAACTCACAGCAAAATTTGATTTTTTTTGCTTACACATTTGTTTGATCAGGTTATACTCCTGTGTGTGCCACAATTCCAGTCCTCTGTGTTACTTTAAAATAATATCAAATGCTTCTTATTGCAATTTTCCAATAACTACTCTCTTAAATCACTTATTTCTTATAAAAACAAAACTAAACAATTGCAGAGGTTTACTGAGAAAAACCTAAATTCAGGATTTGGTCTTGTTCTCTTTTCTGGACTCATAAGGGCAAATTGCACCAAAAGGCAAAAAAAAAAAAAAAAAAAAAAAAAAAAAAAAAAAAAGAGATACTTTCTCAGGGGTACGAGATTCCCTCAAATCATCCTATTAAGGTAGCAGGTAGCCAGAAAAATAATTCTGCATTTTTTTGTGTCAAAAAGAGAACAAAAGAAGAAAAGTAAAATAAGACTCCACATATCTGTTTTAAAACCATTATCTACTTTCCCCAAAGAAAAAGGGGGGGGGTTTTGGGGAAGGGCATGTGTGATGGCAGGGAATGGCAGGGAGAGAAGGGATCAACCTGCCCTTTTATCTCTTTGACCTCAGAGGCAATACAAACAAACTAAATTCTTTTCTAACTCATATGTCACCAAGAGAATTGCTAACTATAGTAGCTATCATTAAAATCGACATTTGCATACCACTACATTTATTATATATGTGGTATATGTGGAACTTCCCACACTAACCAAGGCAACTATCTTAAATATCATGGTAAATCTAACTATAGTGGTTGGTATATATCCAGTTTCTAATAACCACCAGCATAAGTCCTGATAGCACAATCAATGCATGAGACAGAAAGAATAAAGAATGACCCTGTTTGCATGGTCAATAAGAACACTCACTTTGCTTAGATCAAATTTAATGGGTAGTCATTGAAAGATAATATGGAACACTACAGTGCTACTTTTAGCATGGAATTGGAGAGATGTTACTAAGACAGAGAAGAAAAACATAGTTAGTACAGTAAAAAAAAAAACCAACCCACAACCCTGAAATTAGAGATTTAATAACTTGACTCAAAACATGAGTTTTACCGTCAAGCTGTCAGAGTGCATCACAGTTCAAAAATAACACAGTAGTAATGTCCACAGTATTTTATCTGTAACACGCAGCATTCTGTATTCAGGTTTACAGCAAGAGAGTCACATCTCCTTCTTTTCTCCCCTTTTCCACCCTGTTTTCACTCTCCCTGGTTTCAGGTAGCTTTTGTAAGGACCAGAAATGGCAATGTCCTGTCCTGGTGAGCACTCAGTTGAAACGTGACTTGCGTAAGGAACCCCACATAGTTTCTCTCAGGAAAATAATTGAGACAATAGCTATCCCATTGCTATATTCAAAGGAAAATAATACGGCAGCACTGTAGCAAGGGATTGTTAGCAGCACAACAAAGAAAACCTGCTGAGAGAGTATGAAGATGAAAAACTTCCAGAGAATTCCAATCACCACATTGTTTATGTAGGTAGACTGTACGACTACTTTGGCTCATTACTCACATCCTTATTCTGTTTTCTCATACTCTTTCTCATAGTTTGTTAAATTAACTCACAGTAACAATATTTAATTATAAGGTAAACTCTTTGGGGCCATAAATCTGTATCACCAAATACAACAATGTCCCCATCTGATTTTTATGCACTACCAAAAAATAAATCAAATTCATCGAGTGCCAAGATTGTATTCTCAGGCTTGCTCCATCAGACATCATTAGCAGTTCTTTCCCTTCCACCATTTTCTGAAAGCAAGCAACAA